AGAGCCAAGGGCAGCCCTTCCTGCCCTTCGTTTCTGAAACAGACATGAGCCTCAGCAAACTTGATTCCACCTCGGAAATGTGTCCTAGGAGCATCACCACGTTTCTGGGCCCACTGTCACTTGTCAAAAGGTAAACAAGAAGGTGGGGACTGCAAACCCCTCCCTGTTAGAGGGGGACTCTTGCCCACCACTTGGACAATGCCCCTTGTTTTAGATTGTCCTAGCGCTTCTGGGGCTAAGAGGCAAGTATGCACCATGACTCAACCACACCCTTGAAGGGACAGAAATGCAAAGCAGTCACGGTGTCAGAAGAAGCACCACCCTTGGACAGGTGAGGCCGGGGTGACACCTTCAAGAATACATTGCTTTTTCTCCCACCTTCTGGGTTGGATGTTCTTTCTGGGATTCTTGGCATGTTCTGGGGTTCCCCTCCCACAAGAGCATTATAGAGATTAACACGAATGCCCAGAGTCACTTCTACTACGTCGGTTAGGAAAATAAGGTAAAACGAGACTTGAAAAACGCTGAGGGGAATTGAGCCATAATTCCCGTAAACATAAAATGTGTGTTTATGGCCCTCCGGCCTGGTTCTTTTCAGGTCCAGTTTATTTTGAGTTCTCATGAGCAAAACACAAGAAACAAACTGCCTTTGCCTTTGAAATAATAAATACCTCGAAAAGATCTGTATTTTCCCTTAAAACAGACTGAAGTTTTTAAGAAAATATTTAGTTTAAAGCAGATTGATTTTTAAAGTAATATCTCACAAACCCAGAATGTTTGCCAGGGCATGAGTGCCTCGCCCCAACCCGGTGCCCTTGGACCCTTTTCCAGGCAAGGGGGTGGGAGGGAGGGGGAAAGAGACAAGAGACACAGACCCAGAATAAATGTTGGACCCCAGTTCTGTCTGCTTAGCTGAAGAAGGCAGTTGTGATGTGCAGCACGGTGGGTATATCATCAGTTACAAGGATCTCAAACATTCCCCCAAAACCAGGGCTGTCCCCCCAACCAATGAATTGGTCTCCCCACCTGGAAAAGACTGGCTGCAGCTCAGCTCAGGGCCTCAGAGGAGGGGAAGTGGTTAGCGCACCCTAACCTTTGAAGGATTCCTCCTGCAGGCAACCAGGCGGCCCCAAGCCAGCAACTTCTCAGCTGCTCAGGGGCCCCTGGAGTAGTGTGCCCTTTCCCAGAGCAGAACACCAGAGGCTACCATAGAATACCCCAACATGGGGTCTGGACCATGAAACCAGGAACCTCTGCCTCCTACCTGTCTTTTCCCTCTTCCCCATCCATCACCACCACTACCATCACCTCCATCACTAGTGCCCCAGAAGGCACAAGGCATCTAAACTGGGGGCACACCTGACATGGCATCTTTGCCTCACAGCTTTCCACAGCAGCAGAGTAATATAGCAGCCCACTAGAGCAGCAGCAAAAAGTCCCAAAGGGAGACGAACAGAAAAAAAGTGGACTCGGACTCCGTTGGTTGTACATTCAGAGTGGAACTCAACCACTTTGGGACCCTAAAATTCTCCCACTTGTCACCTGCTTCCGGGGCCATAAGCCTCTGCATTCATGAAGAGATTCATGAAGTCCTGGACCCTTGGATCACATTAATTAACTGATAATGACACTGTCAGTGAGGACCGAGGTTCAGATTAGCATCTTTTACTTTTTTTTCTGTCCCATGTTGTCCATCTCTTTTATCACTTGCCAGGCTCTCTGGGACCATGAGGGGTTTGTCTATTTTTTGTTTGTTTGTTTCGATTAAAAGGCTAGAAGTGGTGAGTCCAGATGCCTTTGCCACGGAGGCCACTCATCCCTGGTAGACACCGCATCTCAATCCCCAGCTCAGCCCTCTGCCTGACCTCTTCCACCTCCTTTCAATTTCCCAAACTCCCTCTGGCCGGAAAGACTGTGCTTTTTATCTGGGTGCAATCACCTTACTTTTGTCTATCTGCTCTCAAGGCCTAGATGTGTTTTTATAAACAGACTTCTTTATTTTAATGTATCAGATGTCAGAGGATTGAACTACCAGTATATACACATTCAGGGTTTACCTTTCTGGTGAAAATGCAGACCGAACCCTGACCACACTACCCATACTCTTTCCCAGAAGAACAAGGTCTTTAAAAGACTCTCCTTGTGCTCCAAACTGCAGACCCGCTTAAGGTGGAAGTTCGAAGCTCTAGGAGGCTTTTTGTTCTGAGCCCAAAGGGCCCAGCATATCTGGTTTCAGCTACTCCCCACCCGTATCCTCAGCTTCCAGACCTCTGCTGGGGGCATCCCAGGAAACTGACCCTTTGCTGAAGGGACAAGATGGGCCCTCATGGTCACTCTAAGCCAGCTTTCTACGACCCCCTCTGGGTTCCTTTCCTTCTCCTACAGCCTGGCCACCTAAAACCTAAAACATGTTTGTCAGAGCTGTGCCCAGGCCTCTGGGGTTAGTGGCTAGCAACCGCCCCAGTCCGGGGCAGCAGAGGAGCTGGGTACCCCCAAACCCTGCCTCCCCAAGCCTGTACCCACCAAAAAGTGGGCAGCATGCAAGCAAAGGACTGTCCTCACCGAGTCCTTGGAACGGGACTCTGCAGCCTGGGGCCTGACTCTGCCTGCCTCCCCGGGACGAAGCCCAAGGTGGGGTGCTTGGTCTCCCCCGGCAGAGCCTGGCAAGGCCCAGCAGCGAGTCCCAGGCCGCAGCGGCCCGTGCTGGCGCAGGCACACCCCGCGTGGGCTCCCTCTAATTTACGGCCCTTGGGCTCTTGTTGACACTCTTTTCCACACCGACCCTTCGGGCGGAATCTTCAGCTCCACATCAGCCTCGGCCAAGGCTGCCGGCCAACCCCCGAGGATCATTTCAGCTCCTGCCACCGTCCACCCCCGTCCCCAGCCCCCAACCTCTTCTCAAACTGCTCAAGCCACTCGGGCGCCGCGGTCCCAGTGCCCTGCGGCCCGGGGACTTACAAGTGGAGATCCATTTTCCGTTCTAATGTGTTCAAGATCACCAAGGCCAGCAGTCTAAACATCCACGAGCCGTCCTCCCGGCCTGCCTCTTAAACTGGTGTTTAATGGTTCCCCTCCGATAACTAAACCTGCTTTCCACACATGCCCGCTTTTATGGGAGAGGTAGGAATGCGGAGATGTATTTATATGTTTGTTCATAAAAACTGAAAAATAAGCTCTGAACACGCTGTAAAAAATATTCAGTTACTTACCAGACAGGCTAGTTAAACCTGGGGAACACCGATACCGGCCACACAACAAATTCGGGGAATCGAGGTGCCCTGCGCTTTGAAACCGCCCAAGGTCTGCGCTAGGGCTGACGTCCCTGCAGAACATCGAAATGAGAGTATTTACAATCTTGACCGTTGTCCCGGGGTCTTCACCACGATTTCCAAAAGTAGTCAATATAACACAAGCTCCCCAAGAGGGCCCTGGCCTGGGTAACGAGGTGGGTAAGTCTAGCGACGCAGAGACGCGCGTTTCCAGTCTGTGCCCAGGTCAAAGGCGCAGCCTTGCCCTGCGCCCCGCGCCCGCCTCGGCCGGCCGGAGACGCGCCTCCGGGGGGGTGGTTGGGAGGGGTCCGCCGCCCGCCGCCTCTCTCCCGCCCAGCACGGAACTGCGCCTGCTGCTCTGCTCTTGCCTGTTACCTACAAAACACTTCGAAAAGCAATATCTGCTTCCTTTTTTTAACCAGAAAAGAAAGCAGAGAAATACCGTACCTGTTTTAAGATTCTTCAGTATTTGAGACCTGGGGGGAAAATATTTTAATAGTGAAGCATCTGTTAAACACTTGCATTAACCTCCGGCTGATAAAAAAGTTTTTTTAACCCTGCCCCCCCCCCTTCGTTTTAATTATCTTCTGGTTATGAAGGGGCAGCCAATCCTGGACGAGGACCTCGGCAATTAGCAACGAGAACATCAAAAAGTTTTATTGCGGAGAGCGCGAGGCGCCGCCCCCGCCGCCCCGGGATTGGCGTGAGGAGCCTCTGACGACATATATTAACCCGAGCGGCCCTAAAGATGTGGCTGTACATGGAGATCTTGCTGGGAAAATCCGCTTCCTCCCCTTACGGCGTCCAGTCCCGGAGAACCACCACCACCACCACCACCACCACCACCGCCACCGCCGCCGCCGCCGCCGCCGCCGCCGCCCGGGAGCTCCCACGGCCGCCACGCAGAGCCCTCCGCGCCGCAACCGCCGCCTTCGCGCTCCAGGGGCCTGCAGGGCCCAGATCCTTCCCCGGAAAGGAGAGGATCTGAGAAAATGGATGCACTGAGACCTCTCTGAAAACCCTCCGAGGGAGCCGAGAGGAGCGCGGAACACGTTATTCGCAGCTAAAATCACGTTCAAGGACCAAAACAACAACCAAAAATTTCATTAAAACAATAAGCGCACAAGAATCCAGATCAGGCTGGTGGGGGGGAGGGGAAGGGGCGGGAAGAGGAGGGTCGCATGGAGGTAGCTTCACAGTGAGCAGTCTACCCCGCCGCCTCCCTGCAGAGCCGGGCCGGCTCTTCAAGCCGCGGCTTTGGACTCGCCCCGGGACTGCGAGTAGCCGCGGCGCCGGGCACGCGGCCGGGGCGCGGAGCCCGGCGACTCCACCGAGCAGCCCCGCGGGAGCCGGGGCACCTTTGCATGAGCTCGAGAGGACTGTGCCTGCCCGCAGCCGCCCGGGAAGCAGGAGCCTGCGCGCGGGCCGTGGAGCAAGGCGGGAGCCGGCGGCGGCGGCGGCGGCCAGGGGCGCACGGTGCCGGGACCAGCTCGCCGCGCCCTATGGGGAGCCGGCGGCCGCGGCGCTGCTGAGGCGGGCCCGGCGGGCCAGGCGGGGGGCCGGGGCCCGGGCTGCAGCAGCCCCCTCTGCGGCTGCCGGGCCGGCCCGGGCGCCCGGGGGCTGGGGGGTGGGGGGTGGGGGAGGCCGCGGAGCGCCGAAGCGGGGGCCCGGGCCGAGGGCGCGGCAGGGCTGCGCGCACGCTGGGGCGCGTGGAGGGGCGCGGAGGGCGAGATGAGTCTGGTGGGGGGCTTCCCCCACCACCCGGTGGTGCATCATGAGGGCTATCCGTTCGCCGCCGCCGCCGCCGCTGCTGCCGCCGCGGCCGCCAGCCGCTGCAGCCACGAGGAGAACCCCTACTTCCACGGCTGGCTCATCGGCCACCCCGAGATGTCGCCCCCCGATTACAGCATGGCCCTGTCCTACAGCCCCGAGTACGCCAGCGGCGCCGCCAGCCTGGACCACTCCCATTACGGGGGGGTGCCGCCGGGCGCCGGGCCCCCAGGCCTGGGGGGGCCGCGCCCGGTGAAGCGCCGGGGCACCGCCAACCGCAAGGAGCGGCGCAGGACTCAAAGCATCAACAGCGCCTTCGCAGAGCTGCGCGAGTGTATCCCCAACGTGCCCGCCGACACCAAGCTCTCCAAGATCAAGACTCTGCGCCTGGCCACCAGCTACATCGCCTACCTCATGGACCTGCTGGCCAAGGACGACCAGAACGGCGAGGCGGAGGCCTTCAAGGCAGAGATCAAGAAGACAGATGTGAAAGAAGAGAAGCGGAAGAAGGAGCTGGTCAGTACCAGGCGGCAGAGGGCAGTGGGGTGCGGGGGAGCGGGGATCCGGGTCTCTCTCCCGTTGGGCTGAACACTGGCCCGCCGCGTTCTCTGGCAGCCCCCTGCGCCAAGTTGCTTGCACCAGGTTGTGGTCGGAAGGTTTCCCCGCAGAAGCAGAGAGGCCAGGGGAGGGTGTCAGCACGCGGAGGAGGTTAAGAGGGATGTTTTGCGCTGGTGATCTTCTTTCCGGGTTATCGCCGCGCCCACAGGCACTTAGGGCCGGCCTCGCGGACCAGCTTGATCTTTCGATCGTACTGGCCTGGACGCCTCTTTCCTCGTCCTTTCGAGCCTTCATTCGGCCTCCAGTCCGTTCTTGCTTTCAGATGTTTCTAAAATAAGTTGCTCAGAAGCACTTGATTCCAGTTATTTCACTACCGGTTGCGTTTCCCCTTCTTGATAACGAGGCATCCACTGAATCTAAGAGTTTTTGATGTGGTTCCGATAACTATACCGGAAAGACGTGAAGGTGAACATAAGATAAGTACTTCAAAATTCAGCTCAGTTTCTCTCTGGCAGTGATGTTAAACTGTGACTTCCCAGATGCGTATTCTTCCTATTTCTGGTTTTGTATGCGTGCGCCTTTACGTTTTAAGACAAATAGTATCATCACAGTCATCGTCATTGTTCTGGACACTAACACAAAGTCATAACTGAAAATTACTTTTCTCAAGTTCCTAACCAGGTGACCATAGGCTGGTGGAGTTTAGAGCAGGGCTACTGCCATGAAGAGCACGGAAAATAATTCCATTTGTCGAGGTTTTCTTCCTTGGGGTCTGTGGCACTTTAGTTGCTGCCAAGTCGAGGGATCTCCTGTAGCCCGGGGTTTCAGAGGCCTTGGAGGCCGAGGAGGCCTTGGAGAGACAGGCCCAAGCCGAGGCCGAGGCCCCTCTCCCCATCTGCCTTAGAGCGTGGGTCTGGGACTGCGATTGAAAACACGGAAACCAGACTGAGCCGCCGACCCCAGATCGCGCCCCTACATCTGGAGTTAGAGAGAAGGCCCCCAGTTCCTCCATAAACGACTTGAAAACCGGTGGTTGTTTATAAACTCGCCGACCTGGGAGTTGAGTGCTGCCGCTGCGTGTCGGCCTGGGCGGTAACTAGGGCAGCGCCAGGCTTCCTAGCTCTTCTGCAGGGGCTGGGACTTGAGGCCACCCCACCCGCGGTTCCTGGCTGGCTCTCCCACTATCTTCTCTGGCCGGGAAAGCGCGGGCGTTGCGTGGAACCGGATCTCCTCTCTGATTTTCTCTTTCTACTTTTCTCCCCCTCACCTCACCTCTTCTCTGCCCAGAATGAAATCTTGAAAAGCACAGTAAGCAGCAACGACAAGAAAACCAAAGGCCGGACGGGCTGGCCGCAGCATGTCTGGGCCCTGGAGCTCAAGCAGTGAGGAAGAGGAGGAGGAAGAAGAGGAGAGCTCCAGCAGGGCCCAGGAGCTGGATGCAGACCCAGGACTCCAGGCAAGCTCTGCGTGCTCCGCTCTGAGGACTTCCTGCCTTTGGATCATCCGGTTTATTTATGTGCAATGTGCCTCCCTCTCTTTGCCCCCTTCGAGGCATCCGCTCCCCACCTTCCCCTCCAAAAAAAAAAAAAAAGTGGATATTTGAAGAAAAGCATTCCGTATTTTAATATGAAGAGGACACTCCTTCGTGGTAAGGGATCCCGTCGTTGTCTCGTAGTCTCTGTTTGTGAATGTTTCCTCCTGCTGTGTAGACACCAGCGATGCTCCCTCTCCACTTACCTAAACCCTTCCAGATAAAGACAGCGGGACACTAGTGTGTATGTGAAGTGTATCTTTAATACTTGGCCTTTGGATATAAATATTACTGGGGATTATAAAGTTTTATTTCAGAGCAGAAAACGGGCAGCTAACATGTCCGTTGAGCTTTCCTGGTGGCTCGGCGGTAAAGAATCTGCCTGCCAATGTAGGAGATGCGGGTTCGAACCCTGGGTGGGAAAGATCCCCTGGAGAAGGACATGGCAATCCACTCCAGTATTCTTGCCTGGAAAATCCCATTGACAGAGAAGCCTGGCGGGCTGCAGTCCATGGGGTCGCAAAAGAGTAGGACACGACTTAGCAATTAAACCACCACCATCATGTATGTTGGGGGTAAGTGTCTAGCGCCACAGTTCCATCTGATGTGGTTCCCACTTTGAAGATGTTTCCAGCAGCTCCTTGTTTTGTGCACTTCCGTCCTCTAAAATTAAGTGGAATTAATATTGAAGGTGTAAACGTTGTAAGTATTCAATAAACCACTGTGTGTTTTTTTTTTTTACAAAACCCCTATCTTTTAATGGTTGATACCTCAAGAGAGTTTTGAAAACAAAACTGTTGTATTTGTTTTCATTATATTTAAAATATTCAGAAGTAAACTAAATTATCGTGATTGCCTCTAACTCTGTTTGATACAGTCAGTGGTTCAGATCAGTCATCAACGTGAGCAACCTTGAAGGCAGGGCCGGCAAGGAAGCCCTTTAAAAACAGATGTCCTTGGTGAAAGTCCTGCCAAAGGGCCTGGGCTCCATGAGTCCTGCCTCCTTCCCTCTGTCTCTGCCTCCATGAGAGCACCAAGTGGTCTGTAGGAGGAGGGTCTGGGCCGCAGAGAGGCCTAAGCCGTTTGCTCCAAAGGTAGAAAGTTGTCCTGGTTGAAATCAACCTGAAATCAACCAGACGCCATGTGGTGGGGGCTTCGGGTTTTGTTGGAGGAGCCATTTTCGCTGGAGGAGTTTTGGGGAGGAACCTAGCCCTTATTGCAGACGCAGGAGCTAGTCTAGGGTTTTTAATTCAAAATATAGGGCTTTCATCCAAGTAAAGGGGAAAAAAGACCAGGAGAAAGGAAAAGAGGAGGTTTTTGCTGGTCGTCTCAACGGGGGGCAGGTGGAGGGGGGGAGACTCCTCTTGGCCGCCCGGGGGAGGGGGAGGGCCCTCGGAAAAAGTCCATGATTAGGTAACAAGGAATTCTACGTCAAGTAAGAAATAGCGAACTCGACCGAGGATTCAAAGGGGGGTGAAGCGGGCGCTAGATTTACAAGGAGTTATAGGGAACTCAATATTAACCGCGCGGTGTCTGTAGTCCTCCCGGCCGCAGGCCAGTCCGGCCCAGGGCTCCCTCCCCCGCTGCCAGGCGCCGGAGCCGATCCCGCGGCCGGAGGTTCGGGCTCGGGGAGTCTAGGCACTTCCCAGGAGGAAGTCCCCAGGCTTCCTTCGCCCGCGGGCTTGGCTGGAGCGGAATCTCTGCTCCAGGAACCGGAGTAGGTCGAGCGCCGTAAAGGGCTCGGCAGACTGGGGAAGAGGAGCGGAGGAGGAGGCATTCGGAGTACGCAGCGGGGGAGAGAAGAAAGGGAAAACATATTAAAAAGCGGTTTTGTTTCATGAGACGCCGCGCGTTCAAATCTGTTGTGAGGGCGGCTTGCCAGAGGGTTTCCACCTTGGAACCCATCCTCGGGGTGATGTTCGATCACACCCCGGCCTCGGGCACAGACTCTCCCCCTCCATCCCAGGGGTCCCACTCCGGCCAGCGCCGCCTCTGAGCCCCTCCCGGGCCATCGGCGAGTTCGCTAGAGCCAAGCTGCAGGCGTTCGAGCGGCGCTGCGGGGTGCTTCTTCTGCGGGCGGCGGACGACGTGAGGGCGCGGGGTTAGAACAACTCGGCCAAAGCGATCTGAACTTTCTCCCCTCGGGTCAGCGGGCGCTGGGCCGACGTGGTGGGCGCGGAGCTGTGTTTACAGACACTTGCCTTTGTTTATAGCGTTGGGGGGCGGAGGGAGGCGCGCCCTGATTTTCTATTACTCTTGGGATTCCTGTCCGTTTGACCGAGTGGCTCCCTCTCTCTCCTGCCGCCCTTTGCGTCTTTACGCTAATCCGTTCAAGAGAAAAGATGCCAGAACCTACCGGTGGAGGGAAGGAGTTTTTACCAAGGGATTGGAATGCATGGTGGTGGAGGAAGTGAGGTTTTCAAAACAGGAGTTATCTTCATGTGTCTGTGTGCCCGTGCGGGCCTGGGCTGGCTGGTCTTCCTTGCCACCTGGGCCTTAACGCATTTCTAGGGGGTTTAACGCTTTCTCTGGTCTGTTAAAAGCCAACAGAAGGGAATCAGAACACCCCGGCAGCACCGTCGCTACGAGGCCGCGGGGCTGCTGCACGTGCGTTTAAACCCGCGCTCCAGAAAAGCGTCTTTGTCTGGCCTGGGCCCCCGTGCTGCCCGCCTGCCCGCCCGCCGCGCCGCTTCCTAGGGCTCCGCAGCTCCAGTGCTTGGACACCTCCAGCACCTGGACCTTCCAACCCACCGGCAACCGCAACGGGCCAGATATCCAGGAGACCCGATACCCAGGGGGGTGCCGAACCCCCTAACCTGACGCTTCAACTCGCAAGACACCCCACATGTCGTCCCACGTTGTCAAGTCCCAGGGCACGAAGTGGTGGCCTAGGCAGGCGTTTCTTGTACGCTTCCATGCTTTTCTCTTCTACACATTTCTTTCCCTTTTAACTCCCTTTCTCCTTTGCTTCAAAAAAAAAATGTTTTCCCCCCAAGCTCCTGCCTTGTGGGACTGGCTAAAAGGCCTCTGTTTTAATTGCTTGGATAATGTGGTTGCTGCCATTTTGTTAAAAGCAATCACTCCTGCAGCGAAATCACAAGCTCTCTAGACAGGCCGGAGCCGACAAAAATGCAGGATTTGACGTTAAAAGCTAAATGGGAAGCTGGGGCGGCGGAAGGTAAATTGATGGTGGATCTGGTTGTCAGGGCCGGGCCCCAGACCGCCGCGCAGGCCGAGCGCCTGATAACCCTGGAGCACTGAGGGGCGAGGGCTCGCCGGCGCGGGCGCGTGTGTCCAATAGACCCATTCTCAACTTCCTGGGAAGTAATTTGGGAAAACTCGACGGAGGGGGACCTGACCACACACCCTGTTCCCAGCCGGAATTTCCCAGAACTTTCCGCCAGGACAGGACACTTACTGTGGCTTTCAGAGTTTTTTTCAGGTCGAAGTGCCAGGAAGATGACAGCAAGATCACTTGGGAGTTCTTCTTGCCTTCTGAATCCCAGGACCACGCTCTAGGGGGTCGGTTGGTCGACCCCAGCCGCCCAGTCTGTTAGCCAATAGGTCCGGGAACGTAGGAAAGGTGAGCCTCTCACCTAAGCTTCCCTTCTCTGGGCTAGCAGAACCAGGAGGCCTGGTCGTCCCGCCCTGAGGTGGGCGCAGCCGTGGCACCAGGGACGAAGCCTCCAGTCCCCTTGAAAAAAAAGTGTGCGTTTGAGTCGGGGCTGGAGGGCAGCTGGAGTCCTGCCCCTTCACCTGGATGGCTGCTGGCCGCCATCCGGGACTGGCCGGCGTAGTTGAGATCGCCAGAGGAGGAGTTGTGTGCACTCGGACTTCGCTGGAAAGGGAGCCGAGGGAGAGAGACAGCTAGATGCAAAGCCTTACTAAGTCGAAGGAGGCATGCAAGCTGCTTCCGAGAAACTAGTTTTGCAGAGAAAACCGGAGCCAGCTGCGAGGGCCCGAGGCGCGTGTGTGTGCACGGGCAGTACACTGGGCACGAGGTGCCACTCTAGCCGGCGCTGCGTTTGAGCCGTGGCTCTACAAAGCGCGGGAAACCGCTCAGCGTTTCCTGTCCCCTGCAGCGCTCGCGGCCCCCGACTTCCTCCTCCACTGCCGCGCGCGCTCTCCCCGCGCGCGAGTCCCACCCACGCGCCCGCATCTGGACATTGGACTGGCGGTAGGTGACAAGCCTAACGGCCCAGGAGAAGAGGCGCGGGGCCTGTGCCTCAGGGAGGGCTGGATCGGGATCCTGGGCGCCGCATGTCTTGTCCGGATCTGTTGACCTGAGGGGACCGATTCGCTCGACCGGGCTTGACTCTTCGGGTCCATCCACATCCTCGCGCGAGGAGGGGGCGCCGACGAGGGCCCCGGCCTGTGGAAGCCAGCGCACCCCTCGGAAGAAAGACCCCGGAGCGGCCCCGAGGCCGGGGGCAGCCCGCTTCCCCGGAAGCCCAGGCGCTCTATAGGATTTACGTCCACGGGGCGGGGGGGGTGGGGGGGGGAGAATGGGGGAACCAAGTGTTTAACTGTTTGGCAAGAGAGGGGCAGCTCTAGGAGAAGAATGCGAGCGCGCACGGCCTGTAGCGGGTGTCCCGGGGCCAGGCTCAGATCCCCAGCGGCGGCGGCGGGTCGGCCGTCCAGGGGCGCGGGGCGGGGACTCCCAGGCGCACGGACGAGCGTCCTCTCCTGCCCCCTCTCACCCTACCCAAGCCAGCCCGGGTGCAGGAGCGCGCCCCCGCCTCTCTCCTGAACCGACTCCCCCACTGTACACACACGCACATTCCCTTCCAATTCTCCCAGCAGTTGGGCCGCTTTGATGATCAGATGGTAGAGCCCTGATTACAAATTTATTCCC